CAGTTTATTATATCTGTTCCATGCCTTGAATCTATTAAGTTGTGAACTGAGCATTTTATATTCTCTTATTCATTTTCTAATTTTTTTGTCACTTTTCTTTAAGGGACCATTTGTACTCGGACATAGACATTAAGTTCTTTCACACTGGAGAGGCACTGTGTATTGCTTCTCTGGCATGAAAATCTGTTTTTTCGTTTCCTTGAAGTCAAATATGTGATTACTCTTTAAATGGGAATAAGCCACAATTAAAGGTTAATGTAAGTTTATTGACGTTTCAATTTTCAGTTAATAATTTATTAATTACTTTAAAATGCCACAAGAAAATAGCTTCAGAAAAATATGTGATGGAATCCATATAAAGCGCACTTGCTGTCTCGCGTTGTTCGGTAATTATGATTTTGTAATTATTTTGTGAAACAAATTGAAGACGAATGAATCAGTATATTAACTCCTTGAAAAGATGGATTGATATTGGCAATCATGGATATATTGAATGAGCAATATTTAATATTGGAACACACAATACATATTTAAACTGTGCTTAAAATCGCTTAAATCTTTTCGTACCGACTAGAATTCTTATTTTAAATTTGATGAACCGCTGATGACTGATATATTGAATGAAAAACATGAAGTACAAAACGTTTTACAATACTTTATAAAATTTTCCCTGTACTATAAGTTATATTTTTATTTACAATCATGCCCATTATCTTTTATGCACTTTAAATTAAGATTTAGTTACCGATAGCACCGTTTGCTACCTTCGTTTCACGTTTTTAAGGATATGTCGTGAACCCCAAAGGAGGACAGCTTTCTCAGGACACTCTGTATAACAAAGGCTCATCTTGATAATTAGAAATAAAAAAATACTGCCTTTCATCGTAGGTGTATGAACTACCTACTTATCGAGTTCACCTTCTAGAAAGACAAAATGAATAATTAGTACAATAGAATTAGAGTATGTTTTGAAATAAACTACATAAAATACATAATATTCACCAAATAGGATTCTTACTTTATCAGTACATACATCAGCTTAAAGCCTGATTATTTCTAAAGAAGAGTACATTAAAAAGCGGTTTCAGAAAAGGCAGATCAACGCATGATACCTTAGTAGCTATTGACAATATTATATGTGAGTCCTTTAGAAATAACCAGAAAGTAATTGCCATATTTTTTGATATAAATAAAGCATTTGATACTGCATTGAGATACAACATTTTACAAACCATGTCTAACTGGGGTATCCGGGGAAATTTTCTTGCTTTTTCTACATTTCATGAATAATAGGGTATTCCAAGTACGTGTGAATGGAATTACTTCAAAAACAGAATGTCTTGAAAACGGCATTCCACAGGGCTCAACCTTAAGCCACACTATATTTTTAATAGCAATTAATAATATCGCTCAAGAGATAAAGCTGCCTTTAAAAGCAGGTCTGTATGCAAATGACTTAGTTATATATACTAGTAGCTACAATATTACACTAGCCTCAAAAATTTGCAATCATTTCTGCATAAACTAAAAGACTGGTCCCAAAAGACTAGTTTTACGTTCTCAGGTGATAAATCTCGTTTCATCGTATTCAATAAAAGAAAAACTGATTGTAAAACAACATTTACTCCAAACGGTATCAACTTAAAACAAGTAGAGAGCATTGACTTTCTTGGCCTGAGACTGGACAGTCAGTTAACATGGGCAGAACATATTAAAAACCTAGTCGTATCCTGCCAATCTAAAATAAATCTCCTTAACATGCTATCAAACCGATCTTGGGGAGCGGACACCATAAAAATTGCTGCATATATACCAATCATTAATCCGAAGTAAATTGGATTGTGGTGCAATATGCTATTCAACTGCGAGTAATTATATACTTAAAAAACTAGACATTATACAAAACACATGTTTAAGACTAATTCTGGGTGCTTACCGAACTAGTCCTGTTTCAAGTTTTCAGGTTATCCTAGATGAATCACCCCTATCAATACGAAGACAACACATTTCTTTAAATTATGCCGCGAGATTATCTTCCAACCCTAATTACACAAACTATCCACTTCTTTACAAAATATATACACCTACTCATTGCCATCAACAAATTAAATATCCACCTCTTAAAGAACGTTTAACGAGATATGGTTTTGACATGGAGCAGCTGACACATTCTTACCCTACACAACGAACTATACCTCCCTGGACTGTTAATTTTCCCACTATTGATCTATCCCTTGGCCTATCCAAAGAGTACCATAAATCCCATAATCATTAACAAATTATATCAAGAACGGATATTAGAATACACTGGCCATAACAAGATTTTTACTGATGCGTCAAGAATTGAAAACGAACACGCAGCGGCCTTTATCTGCAGCATTTTCACGGGAGAAGCAATCGCCATTTTAAAGGCTTTAGACATGTGTAAGAGTCATGCAAACTCAGAGTTTCTTATCATTACTGACTCTTTATCTGTTCTTCAGAGCTTAAGGCAAATATATCCAGTACATGCTATCCTGCAACAAATACAATTAGCATTTTATCACCTACAAAAGAGAAACGTGAACGTTACATTTCTCTGGGTACCATCACATACAGGTATCGCAGGAAATGAAAAAGTAGATGAATTAGGAAAGAAAGCTGCTACTGACGAGCACACTGAAATTATGACCACAATTCCATTCAGTAATATCCAGCTTAATATTAAACAGCACTGTGTAAAAAATTGGCAACAAATGTGGAATTCTAATAAGGCTAACCTTAAAAAGGTGAAAACTAGGATTGGCACTAAACTATAATTTCCAGAAAAACAGAAGGCAACAAGCGATTACAAACCGACTAAGAATTGGACATACAGCGTTAACTCACCAGCATCTCATAACAAAAGAACCACCACCTGAATGTTTGAATAATTGAATGTCCTCTTTATCCCTAAGAAAGAACCATCAACAACGTACCAGAAGAAGCAAAGAAACTTAAAGATATTTTAAAACAGTAATATATTGGTTTACTACACAAAATTTAAGTTATATTATATGTATCATTTTGTAATTTGTAATTTATTATTTGTAATTTAATACGCAATTTGTAATTAGTATATTTAATAACAACTATAAAATCTGTAAAACCCGCTGATAACCTTTAATGGTTGATGCGGAAATTCTAAATTAAAGAAAAGAGTACATTAAAAAATATTTAATTAGGAACATATTCAACGGTGTAAGCTAAATGCGGTTGACCTATTCGGGTAACCGAATATATTTTTCAGGCAATACAAATGGAGAATATATAAATAAAATAGGAGTAATAATGAACAAAAAACACGAAAATCACGTGACAAACTTAAATCCATAATCAAAACAAATACAACTATTGCAACTTAATCGGTTTCAATAAAAACTAATATAAATCAAAAAAGGTACTTGAAGAGTTCCATGGTAATCTAGTGCAAAGAAAATGCTCACGATCTACACATAATCTACACGGTAAGATTCATAATGCAATCAAGGAGATGGATAGACTATCACTAGACATCATCAGGACATATGGCACACTAGGTTTGGCAAATCCAAGTGGATGGCGAGCTTTTTTTCGACGTTACAAAGCACTTCATTACGTTTAGCAACAGTTAAATTAAAAACCCTTCCATACTGATATACGACAATGACGAGAGTCACTTGAGAGACACTTAACATATCACGTTGTTCAACTGACAAAGGATAATGGTGTAATCATACTAACTCTGCCTCCTCATTGTAGTAACAGCCTCTTGTTTCAATTTTTGCTCCCTTTAAAGCGTATTACAAAGCCGATTTGGTGCGAAAACTCTGATGGGAAAATTGCTACATGTAGTTGTCCGTATGGCACATTATCGCAGCCAATGAAGGCAGCAAGCCAATAATATTTATAGTGTTACCATGCCCTGACCTGATCTCAAGTAATGAAGAGGAGGATAGACTCAAAGTTGCTGAGCCATCCTGGTAAATCTATTTCAATATAGCACAAGGTGTAGGAGAGGCACATTTGAACGGATTAACACCTACTAATATTGTCAGGTTTTAATAAAACAGTAATTTTTCCGCTAAATAGAGATTTTTTGTGAAGCTGACTTCATTGGAAGTTCTGTGACTGATAGACCAAACGAAACTGAAAAGTTAAATCCACAATCAGATTCGACAGAAATGTCTATTGTGGTTTCCAATCAAATTATATCAGCCTTATCGAAAACACTTGAAAATCAAGTAGTATCACCACCCAGGACACCTGAAAAATGATAATGTCTCAAAACTCTGCGAATTCAAGTTGGTTTACGTTCAAGTTTTAAACGATTTCTAAAATCAGAAAAGAGAAAAGGTGTGTAGACAAGGAAAACTAAAAAGAGTGCAATTTTAACTAACACACCTGCCTTGGATCACTTAAAACTACAAGCACAAACCAAAATAATGACTCCTCAGTCATATCTTCAATGCAATTGCCAACGTTAGGAGAGCCTAATAATGCACTATCAGAAGAAGAAATTTAAAGATAGAATGCTAGGAACCGCTTAAGTAAACACCTACCATCACTTGATTTTTTGTGGCACTCTCCGATATTTTGTGCTTTGTATTTCTAACTTTAATCTCAAACACAATTAATATATGGCAATGGTTCAAAGTTACACTGTTGCCTTGCAGAACGCATATTTATCTTACAATTTCTTATATTAGAAAATAATATGTATTATAAGATTAGGCATTTTTTAAATCTGTACACAAACTCTTGCATATTTTGATTCTTAGGAACATATTACGGAATTTTGTTTTGATAACTACTTTTTGGAACTTATGTTTAACGAAAAGTTATAAAAATAGCACAACAATCAACAATATTATTATTTTTTAAAATATTTCCACGTAGTTCAGATAATATCTGTTTCAACTGGAGTACAACATTTTTAGTTGGGCTAACGGTGTTATCTTCGGCGATGAGCGCAGCCCCACCATTTGGAATTGTTTATATATGGGAGCTCCTGCGGTGATGGTGGATCAGTTGGTAAATAGAAAAAGAGAATTAATTTAGCCGGTTTTACGCGAGTTTTATAAGCGGTTTTTTATAGATAGTAATACGGTTTCGCGAAAATGCTTGGGAAAGCATTTCTTATTTTGAGTGCTGTGTTGCTTGTGCGAGCAGCACAATCTGATTTTTACAGGTATGTTATTTAAAAAGGAATGAAATAGTTTTTCACAATAATTTTATTTTACTAAAGGAAAGAAATAATAAGTATAATCTTGTATATATGTGTAACATTACTATTATAAAATAAACACGGCAATAGATTGTAAAAGAAAGTTCGATTGTTATACAGCAATACTTTTAGGAAACTGTTTTTAAAACACAACTTAAATCAAATCTACTGTTGATACTGGCATGCCTTTATTAAAATATTATATGTTATTATATTATATTTTCTTCCTTTCTCCAATGGCCCTATAGGTTAAATCGAGCGCTGGCGTCCCTTAGGATCCTCCCTTGGCATCCGCCTCCAAGTATCCCTTTCCTTGGCTGCTCTCCTGCAGTTATCTACCCTCAATATCTCTTTATTACCGATTTTCACTTCATCTATCCACCTCTTCCTTGGTCTCCCTACTGGCCGACGTCCCACCATAGTTCCATTAAGCATTGTTCTAGGTGTTCTGTGATTATTAGGGTCTTTCTAAAATTGATATAACTCGTACTTGAACCTTATTCTCTACATACTATTGTCGCAGTTGGGTCTCAATCATCATCATAAGTAGCTCGACTCCTGTCGATTCCTGGCAACTTCCCTCCATCTTCTGACCCTTAGAATCTGTAGGTCTTCCACATCCATCTTCTTAATGGTTTCAAATGTATTAATAAGGTTTATTGTTTTTTCTAACGGGATCCGTGTTTCTGCGACATATGTTTCTATGTATGATGGTTTTATATATTTTGAACTTAACTTTCCTATGGATGTCTTTGGATCTAAACATCTGCGACAGAGAGAAGTATGCTTTGTTAGCAAGCATTATCCTTTTCCGCATTACCTCCTTCTCGCTGCAGTCCTCAGTTATTTGTATGCTCAGGTATGTGAGCTGTACTATAACATCATTAGCATCATCTATTGTCAAATTTTTCAAGTTTCGATGTTTTCTTGCCTGTATTAGAGGCTTAGTTTTATCTACGTTGACAGCAGGCCTATTTCTTTCGCAGTTTCTTCAAGCTGTACATAAAGTTCTGTGTTGTCACTTACTGTTCGGCCCATCAACCTGTTTAGACTTATAAAACAATATATTTTTTGGGTTTACAGACATTTTTCTTATACCGTATTTCATACATATATTAAACTGAGTCGGAGCCAGCCCATCTCCTTCTTTTAGCCCCTTAGTTACCAGGAAGGGATCTGTCAATTGGTTTTGGACTAATACTTGCGCTTCTGCGAGTCATGGTGGCTTGAATTTATTCTACAAACTTTCTTTTTATGTAGACATGACCCTGTCCGTTTTTATGTGTCTTCAGTAAGTTGTCGTTCCATCGTTTTTGTGGTCTTCTATTTCTATTTCTTCTACTCTTCTATTTCTTACACAGTCCTTAATGTTCTCTACCTTGAATTTACGTCATATATCTGTACTTATAGCTCTGTCCCATATATTCTTACCATCCATTTTCTTGAAAGTTTTCATCTCTGCTGTTTCTAACATCCTTTTTGCTCTTTATGTCAGTTCATGTTCCTGCCGCGTATATCATTATTGGTTTTATGACATACGCGGGAAAAATTTTCTTGGTATACTAAATTCTCGCATAATTAAGTACATTTTATCTCTGTTTATGTTGTCGTAGGTCGAAAATCTACAAATATTTGGTAGATATCTATAGTGTTCTCTCAGACTTTATTTGTTTTGCGTTGAATAGCTGGTTAATAGTAGGCAGACCTGGTCTGAATATGGCCTGGTATTCTTCTATGATTTGCTTTGTGAAGTGACTTAATCTCCTGTTTATGATCCATGTAAACAGCTTATAGCTTACACGGAGTAAGGATATGCTCTGTAGTTTTTTTTAGCTAAATTTGTCCATGTTCTTGTAAATTAACCATATAATTGGTTTTTCCCAGTTTCCTGGAATTTCTTCTGTGTTATTAGTTTATAAAATATACCTATCAGTGTGTGTCCTCCAATTTTGAGAATTTCAACTGGCATGTTGTCAATACCTAGAGCTTTATTTCTTTAATGTGCTATATTATTTTATTACTATGGTTTTAATCTTCTATTATCTCCAAATCTGCTTTTGTATAGGTTGTATTTGTTTGTATTTGCTCTGTTTACTTTCTTAAACCAGAGCTATTGTCTTTGATGTGTTTTAATTCTAATCACTCTATTGTTTCCTCCCACTGGTTTAGGAGTTCCCTATTCAAATTTTTTTCGCAAACGCCTTTCTATTTCTGGATTTTTCAGGTTGTTCAGGTTTAATTTTTCGGTCTTTGGGCGTTTGTCGTTCTCCTATCTGTTTATACGGCTTCACAAGACGTTTAACAAAGTTAAAAAGATGGTAGATATAAAAAAACCAGAACACAACACCTGGTTTCCCTGGTAACTGAGCTATAAAACCATACTACTGGATTAGTAAAAATGTTTGAAACATTTTTAAATCAATTTCCCTTAAAACCAGGTGTCAGAAAAGGATGCATTCTGTCTACACAATTATGTAGTACATACAAAGAACATACTGCTACAAGAGCGGTTGATGGCAAATGTACAAATTGCGTTTTGCGACCGACACAGCCCTTCATGCGAAGACCAAAAAGACTTGCATGATTTCCAAAGACTAGTTGATTTTCAACTTTTCAACCTTCGTTGTTCAACTTTCTCGTTCCTTCTATTGGATTTTAAAAATCTTTTTTTAGTTTGAGTTGAAACTAAACTGTTTTTGTGTGCGATAATTCGTCTATGTAAAAACTGATGCTTCTCTCCAATATATGATGATTTAAGTCTTCACAATTTACTTTATAACCTACATCTGATGGACTGTCTTAATTGGTTGTCTTAATAGATTTGAACTTTCTATTGGATGTAAAAAATTTCTATAAGATGTGATTGGTGATTTTTACCAGTATCCGATAGTTATTTTATATCTCGGTAGCATATTTAACATTTGTTCAGGAAAACCATTAATATCTTGTTCTATATAAATTAAGATATGTTTTCTCCTTCTCCTTTTTCTTCTTCTTCTTCTCCTTTTATTGAGACTTTTTAACCTTTCTGTGTCAGATTTTGTTTCTGCCGCGTATGTCATTATTGGTCTGATGGATATTTCGTAAATACTGCCTGTCGTTTCTTTTCCGATATATTTATTTCTCAATATTGTTTTATTCAGGCAGCCTGCGGCTCTGTTTGCTCTATTCACTTGATCTTCTACTTCAGTTTCGAGCTTTCCGTATCTAGATAATGTGATGCCTAGATATTTAAACTCCATCACTTGTTCTATTATCTGACCTTCCATTTTACATCTTAGTAAATTTGCTGTTGTAACCATGCATTTTGTCTTTTTTAGGGAAATTAACATGTTAAATTTTCTGGCAGTTATATTAAATTGGTGCAGCATCCATTGTATATCATATTCACTTTGAGAGAGTGGTATTGCGTTGTCTGCATAGCAGACTATTTGAAGTTGTTTTTTTCCCATTGGGTATCCTTTTTAGTAATTACTTTTTTTATTATTTTATCCATAATCAGGTTGAACAATAGAGAACTTAGGGAATCTCGCTATCTTAAGGGAAATAAAGTATGTTATGTAAATTAATCTGTCAATTATACTATTTCATCAAGGTCTCAAATTCGTACAATTAATTGCTTCAAATTGTAAAGAAATACTGCTTCAAATTTTAAAGATAGTCAGTAGACTTTAAAATTTTACTAAAACAAGAATATTAAACAGAAAGATAATCATAGAATGTCCGCATTTAACATATGCTCATATGGTTAATGCTGTGAATATGATTCAGGCTGGTCTTTCACAAGCTGTTGTTGCACGTCATTTTGACGTGCCTCGAAGCGTGATTTCGAGATTGTGGCGTTGATATGAATAATTTGGTAATGTCACTGAAAGACATGGAGGTCGTCAACGTGAAACTACTCGACAGGATAGGTATGTGGTAGGATTAACTTGTCAAAATGTGTATATAGCTGCACGTGAACTCTATGGGGCCTTAGAACATATCTTCTACATGACTGTATGTGACCAAACTTTGAGGAATAGATTAAATTAAACTAACTTGTACCCAGACGTCCATTGATGTTTCCCATGTTACGTTATGAAAATCGTGGACTCAAATAAGGTGGGCACAAGGACATGTTTAGTGGGACTTACAAAAAAGGAGTTATGTGTTATTCACAGATGCAGTTAGATTTTGTCTGTACCCTGATTAAAGAAGAATGAGAGCTTGGAGAGGACCTTATCGACAAGAGAGACATGTAATGTACAGGGTGTTCGTCTATATAGCTGTCTACAAGTTATGACGTTGGCAGGAATAATTTTTCATCATCGATCTGTTCCAGTTTTTGTAGAAGTTATTCTGAATTGGTCGTATCTAAGAACACGTTGGCTTTAAATTTGACACTGCTACAGGTCCCTATTTGCGTTATATACAGGAGAATGCAAGGTCACATACTGCAGCAACATTAAGAGATTGGATTTATAATGAGGATATTAGACTTTTACTGTGGCCAACATAGTCGCCAGATCTTAATCCCATAATAAGTTTGTATGAGATATGCTTCAGATACAGATGGATCCTTATCTGCACAATGTTTATACTAGACAAGGTCTTTCTTAAATTGATAATTTAATTTTAAGCACACTTTTTTTTTTTTTTTTTTTTTTTAATGGCATAGACTTTTAGTCATTCAGCCAGACTCAACATGGTAAAAAAATAGTTGTCTGAGTTTATATTAATAAATATACAAATATACAAAACAAAGAACAGGTAAACAGGGTCACTCTCTTCTCGCCTAGGATCCCATAAAGGCATTTTTTTTAAGACATACAACACTAGGCCACGGTAAGAGGGGAATTTGACAATTGGGTTAGAAACAAAGGTTACGTTATTAACTAATGCATAATTCTTTACATGGTTATTTTACTATCTTTTAAAAACATAACTAAGGAATCATACACTGCTCTCGAGTCTAGTGATAA